AGGCTGAGGCGGAGGATCGCCAGAGCCCAGCAGGTTGAGGCAGCGGTGGCTGGGAGCGGCCACTGCACTCCAGTCTGGGCGACGGAGTGAGACTCCAACTAAAAAAAAAAAAAAAAATTAAACTCATAGACAAACATCTCATTAAAGCAGTAAAACTTTCTAAATCCTTCCTTGTTACATAGATTGTGTGGTTACTTGCCAGATGAAATAGAAAAAATTATTTAATAAAACTAACTTCAAGTTTCAGTCTTCTTGACTAGTAGCATACCCTCTCTGCTCTAGAACTTCATGAAGAAAGATGATAGTCCCTGGATTCCTTTGCCATGTCTTATATAGTCCAATTGGGTTAAAGGTACAACTGTCAAGAAAAATGCCTTTTTGACACCTGGTGCTATGCAGCACGGGACCTGCTGAACGCAGAGGTATGCATTGCTCTCAAGGAAATCGCGGTTGCTGAGAAGATGGAAAGTGAGACAGGCATGTCCTTATATTCTCCTACTGTGGCTCTAGAGGGAAGTGTGGCTGAACATAGGATGCATTTTTTTTTTTAGATTAAAAAATATACTTTATTTGCTGGGCTCGGTGGCACAGCCTGTAATCCCAGTGCTTTGGGAGGCCGAGGTGAGTGGATTGCCTGAGCCCGCGGGTTCGAGACCCGCCTGGGCAACTTGGCGAGACCTCATCTCTACAACAAATCAAAAATTAGCCGGGCGTGGTAGCGCGCGCCTGTAATTCCAGCTACTTGGAAGGTTGAGGCGGAAGGATCGCCGGAGCCCAGCAGGTTGAGGCTGCGGTGGCTGGGAGCGGCCACTGCACTCCAGTCTGGGCGATGGAGTGAGACTCCAACTCAAAAAAAAAAAAATATATATATATATATATATAGTTTATTTAAAAGTAAGGTAGGAGAAAAAAGAAGATTCACCTCCTCAAGGTGGGGGAGGAGGCCAAAGCCAAGAAGCATGGGGACAGCCATAGCTCACAGAACACATGGTCACACCAGAGTCTAGCAAGGCAGTGACCCGATCGGATGCATTTTTATAGCTAAAAATCAAAAGCATCTCTAGGATATTGTCTGACTCTCATATGAGAAGTATCTGGGAAACTGATGCCATATCGGTATTTGTGGCTACTTAAAATACGGCTCTGGTTATATGAGTGACGTATCATTTAAGGAGGCTTGATGCTATAGTTGAAAGTGTGCTTTTTTCAACTAAAACACAAATGACTTTAATGATTTTGTAGTACCCCTGCCCCCCCCAGCAATCTAGTTTTAGCAATGAACAGTAAAAACAGAACCCAGCTCCCGTTTTACCCTCCACCAGGGGGAGCCTCGGCATCGGTTGATACTCCCACAGTACAAGCATTGAGGCAGCCTTTCAAGCCACCTAGTTGTTAAACTGCATGGTTCACACAGAGACCTAGACACTGGCCCTGAGAGCTTACTGTCTAATGTGGTAGGGAAGATATACAAATAACACATCAAAGATCTGATAACACTGCCGTATTCTGGACTGTGGCCACATGGGTAGTTCTCTCACGAACGTATGGAGAACAGAGCTCTCTCCTGCCCACAGCTCTGAGCTAACTGGGCACCTTGATCTATCATCATAAATGGTCACTTGGGAGATCTCGCGGAAACAGTCCGCTTCTCTGAAGCTATAATGTACTTGGAAAAGTTAACCCTTGGGGAAAAGTGCTGACCCTTATTTTATCACTAACTTTATTAAAGCAGGTTTGGAACTGGTTTTCTCCAGATAGGAATAGGAACAAAACATTCTGCACTTTCTGGCTATGGCCCGTTTAAAATATTTTGCCCCCTTATCCTCATAGGTCCACACCTAGGTCAGTTTACGAGGGGGGAACCTCAAAAAAACTGGGAATTTTCTTTTGGAGGGCGGTCCCCTTGTGGTACAGGCTTCCTCTGCTAGGTAAGTGTTCTAGGAAGCCATGGGCATCAGTGTCCCAGCTAATGTTCTGAGAAGCTGCATTGCAAGTTGTGGCAAACAGATGATGGGTTCTTCCACCGTGACAATGCACCTGCCCACACCGTGCTGAGTGTTCAGCAGTTTTTGACCAAAAGCAGCATGATTCTCGTGCCCTATCCTTCCTATTCACCCAGAATCACCCTAAGCAACTCTTTTTGTTTCTTCTAATGAAAAAAGTTATCTGTTGATATGGAAGAAGTGAAGCAAAAAATAGAAGCAAAAAGGCATCAAAATGGATGAGTTCAAAAGCTGTTCTGAATAGTAGAACAAGTATCTTCATAAGTGTATTGCATCAAATGAAGAGTACTTTGGAGGTGACTGAAGTTTAAACATGTAAGAATAAATAACACAATTTTTCAGAAAATCCGGTTTTTTGGGGGTCCCCCCTTGTCTATGCCTCAGTTTTGTTTTAGGGACTGAGAGACAGAAAAATAAGGAGTACCTCTGTTATTTTCGTTTGTAAGCCAATCACAGTAGAATGCTAGAAAAACCTACAATATGCTCTTATAAATTATATGTGTGTTGAAACCAAAGTGTGAAAAGTTGTCAGGTATTTGGAGGAAGAAAATAATTTGTAAAATAACCTTTTCTTTTACTTGGGTCTTGTACTTATTTAAGGTGCTAAATCTGTCTGAAACAAGCCCTCCTTGAGTCAGCTCGCAGCCGAGAAGGGCAGGGCAGTGTGGGTTCTTGTCCAGGAACTGGAAAGAGCTCATCTTGCAGGGAGAGGAATGAATGTGCCCTTTGAGCAGTCTAACCACCCAGCTTTTGCCATTTCTATTCCCCAAAATGTAAAAACTGTAAGTTATTCTGAAAAATGTAGTCCAGACATTACTTTGATCATGGATTTTTCTTACTGCGATTTTGTCTTGGATTTGTTGAATGTGCCATCCGTACGTTGCCCTGTCTTGCCTGAATGTTCTTGGTGAGAACAGCTGGAGGCTTTGAACTAGGTGCCTGCTTCTGTTTTCTGGGAAGGCAACATGGATTCTGTTTTTAGTCATTAAGGTGCTTTAAAAGGGAACTGGGGGATGCAAGGTCTTCGGGCTTGTTAAGAAGTGGCCTCCTGTGGTTCTGGGCCCAAGGTGTGACATACATTTCCCGCTAATTGCTTCTCTTAAGAAGCAAGAGATTGGCTGTTCCTCTTGAGGAAAAAACCTTAATAAACCTTCCCATTTTAAACAGTAGTATGACTCTTGTTTTAAGCTGTTTTCGATGCCTTTTTTTTTTTTTAAGCTTAACCGTGTTCATGTTCTTGTGCTAAGTGTTATAGGGCACGTGATCAGAACAGAACATGATCCTTCTAGGCCTATCAGCAAATACTGTGCTGATCAGCATGTTGGAGATACAACAGTGAACGGGACAGACCGAAGCCCCCTCCCTCGTGCGGTCTGTGTCTTTAGAAAATGGCAAAAGACAACCGACCGTGTGGGTAGCGGTGAGGGCTGTGAAGATGCCAGAGGCCGAGGGCAGGACAGGAGGGCCGGGCCAGGGCCCGCGGTGGGCATGTCTCACACATCTGAGTAGTCGAGGCGGGCAGCCCATGCAGTGCCTGCCTTCATGCCACGGAAAGGGGCTGTGCAAACGCCAGGCCGCGGATGGGTGCCCGGCCACTCGGGAGACTGGCAGGGAGGTCGGTTTGGCTGGAGCAGCGTGAGCTGGGAGAGGACTCTAGGAGGGGACAGAGGCCATGGGTTGGCAGGCGGGACGGCCTTCTGCGTCGACGCTGTGGGTCCTTGGAAAGGACGTGGGCAAAGGGTAAAACACGCCCAAACTTGCTGTAGTATGCTGTGAGGACGGTTGAGAATGCCCTCCTGGGGCAAACACAGAACCAGAGGCCAGTTGGGAGACGGAATCCAATGAGAA